GAATAACTCTCCGTCTGAGTCACCATTTTCGGGCATGGCAGATTCTCAAAGCGAAAGAAGAAAAGATGTCTTCAAAGAAAGGGGCCTGGGCCAGGGAGTCGTAAAATACCCCGGTATTTTACGACTCCCTGGCCTGGGTGATAAGAAAGCAGCCCGAGCCGTTGTCTTCCGAAAATCAATACAAGTCATGTACAACCATTGTACACTGTATCATACACTGTACTAGTATTACTACAGACTGTGCTGGCAACTGAAATCCGACCCCCTAGCGGTGCGCTAGCCGCGTTAGCGATTCGTACGAGACGCTAGGGGGTCGGATTTCAGTTGCCAGCAGTGTATGTGTGGGGTTGTGTAGGGCTACCGGCTACCGGCTACCGGTATGCAAACCCTTCATCCGTCCCGGATCCCCAAAGGCCAAAATGTTCTAGCGCGTGATTTCAGTAAAAAATACTTGCCTTCGAACTAACGTCTGTGCATGTGGTGGAACTGGAACGTCAAGGATCGAGGAAGTAACGTTGTTGTTGTCTAAATAAAACCAAACAACAACAACAACAACGTAACCTTACTTCCTCGATCCTTGACGTTCCAGTTCCACCACATGCACAGACATGCACAGCTACCATGGCTACAGCTACCATGGCTACAGCAGCCTCACAAGGCATGTACGCAAAGACTAATGTGTGGTCCGTGCGTGCATGACGTGAGTCTGTGCTGAGTGCATACCGTAATTCCGCGCATATAAGCCCACGGGCCTATATCCGGATATAAGCCCACCTTCGTTTATAAGCCCATGGGCTAATAAACAGACACAAATGCAACTCACGTGTCAAGTAGAATTTTTCACAATATGGACTCTTCCTACCATGGTACAGCAGGTCAGTGCAGTTTACCAGTAGAGTATGGTAGACCCACTATGAGCACGGACTTGTACTTTTCGTGAACCTTCAAAATTCGAATATTGGCCCATGGGCTAAAAAACGAGCATGTTTTACTGGATATTATTTTAATCCCCAAACTGCATTGTTTCACATATAGGCCAATGGGCTTATGGGCCCTACTGTATTATCTCTAATATAAGCACAGTCTCCAATAATAGCACGTCTCCAATAATAGAACACCTTGGGGCGGCATTCAAAAAATAAAGTGCTCAGTCTCCATTATACCGTATTTCCGCAAATATAAGTCCGTCCTCGTATACAACACTTTCCTCGTATACAAGGCCGGGGCACGGGGCGATTGAAAAAATAAAAGACCGGCTCCGTTAAGAAGACCGGGCCTACTAAATGAGTCTCAAACTTGTGTTAAAAATAGAAGACCTTGCTCAAACTGTGGGTAAAAGTAGAAGACCGTGCTCAAACTGTGTAGAAGAAAATGGAAGAATGGGGGTAAAACTGTGTGCCGAAAAATAGAAGACCGGGGTCAAACTGGGTCGAAAGAATAAAAGACCGTCCTCGAATACAAGACCGTCCTCGATTATAAGGCCGGGTTAGGACGAGGTTGAAAAAATAGTAGACCGGCCTACTATTTGTGGAAATACGGTAAGCACACTGTGTAAATTCATTATCTGTACCGGCGAAAAAACCCTGAAATGTGTGTGTCTGACATGAATTTGGCATAGCAACAAGCCTCTGAAAAGAGGTTGAAATAATAATGGAACAGTCTCCAATAAAGGAACGTCTCCATTAATAGCACGGGGCGGAGGTACATTGAAAAAATAAAGGACCGTGCTTATATTAGAGATAATACGGTATATGCGTGGAATTACGGTAACGCTACGCATGCAATGACTGACAGTCTGTGTAATGTCCGCATGCATGTGTGCATGCAGTACACAGCAGTTCCGTTCGCCTGTTCTGACTTCTTATCCTGTCCCGAGGCTGCTGAGTGCAGGGTTGCAGTGAGGCACTTGCCCGAGAGCAACTACTACTAGTACTAGTACTAGCACAAGACTTGAAAAGTCATGTACATGCACGTTGTGTAGTCTACCTGCAGGTGTGGTGAGATCCGCTGAGTATGTACATACATCATTACATGTAAATATAGCACGGGCCATGATTCTGATGATGACATGATTCTGATGATGACATGATTCTGATGATGACATGATTCTGATGATGAGTGAAGCGCATACCAGTAGAAACAAGTTAGTTCCCGTATGTCACGTGATTGTCGCCTTGGAGTCGACCAATGACAGATCAAACTGCGCGGGCTGGAAAGCGCGGTCCTGCCTGCTCGAAGGTTATGGAACTGGAACGGAATCCACTGCGTTCATTGCAGGGGCGTCGGACACGGTACGGTCACTACGGTATTGACCGTACCACGTTATGCCCCAGGTACCCCGTGAATCAATAAAATACACTGATCTGGGATGTAAATTTCCGAAATTTCCGGCTCAGCCACCGCGCTCGCAAGAGTAAATTGTACTTCAGATGGCTGACCGTACACACTAAAATACCCTCCGATGCCCCTGCACTGGCTCGCGAACTTGGCTTGGGTGCAC